GCAGCTGAGACTTAGGTGCTAAGGGACAGGCCTGTGCCCAAAGCCTAGGCTTTGGGAAAGAGGTTGGTCCAGACAGGAGTGGGCCTGGGACCATGCACAAAAGTCTCCAAACTTGTTCTTAGCACGGTGCGTTTTTTGAGAGTGCCAGTTGTCTTAGGATCTTGAAAATCTTAGCGTTTCATGTTTAGCTTTGGTGAGAAGGCCTGATGAAGAACTCCCACCACAGCTCCACCCCGAGATAGTCATTTGCTGTGAGGGTGCGAGCTTGAGCACGCATGCCAGCCGCACATGTGTGTGACATGAACTTAGGATCTTCGCGTACATCTTGTGTCCTGCTATTTTTACTAAATTCTCTCAGCATTTCTCATCTTCCAGGACACGATTCTGATGACTGCGGGCCTTTGGCATATGGGCTGAGAAAATCCAAGTCAACTGGAATGGGTTCCAGCGTTGTGATGTTAATGCTGATGCAAAAGTCCTAAATCTTCCTGTATTTCTGATTACTTCCTTGGGATATGTTCCTGGAAGTGAGCCAAACAGCAGGATTCATCTTTAGGCTTTTGGTGCAAGTTAAGGAGGGTAGAGGCTGAGAAGGCCCAGGGAAACAGCAAAGTTTGAGCCTGGCTTTGGAGGGGGACACAGAAGAGGGTGGAGGTGGGCAAAGGTAGCTCTTTTTGTCCTGGGGAGTGGCACTGTCTTACCTCCCCATGGCAGTATGGGGACCCTTCCAGGACAACCTGGCCCTGTATTTGCTTGAAACTGGGCAGCAGTCCACAGTTTGACGTGTCTTGCTGGGGGGTCCCTGGCCTGCCCTTTGTGTTAACTCCTTGCAGACAGAAGAGGACCTTACAGGCTCCATGAAAGGCCATTCTTCTATCAGCCCCTAAGATCTGTCCCTTGGAGTCTCAGATCTGCAGAGTGACAGGCTCATGAACACTTTTATTGGCATCCCTGCCTCTCTGTTGCAGGGAAGGGGAGAAGTCAGGTGGAGACATCTGTCTTGGGGCAGGTTCTACCCAGTCTTTGTATCTCCAAGGAGGCTTCTCACTGGGAAAGGGGGTGGCTGTGTGTGGGTACAGGACCTGGTGGGGAGGAGATGCTGGGGGGCCCTCTCCTGACAGCATCTCCTAATGCTTCCTGGCTGAGTGCTCTTCACGGACCCTCTGTGGGAGGCCCATGGGGTGTGTTCTTATGAAGCCTGCCTTAGACATTAATCTTGTTCCATTGCCAAATGTTCCTATGTAAATCTAGAGCGACGTTGTTCCCCTACTATGCCTCACCATCTGGGGTGAGTGCGATTCTGGGAGGCACAGAGGCAGCAGATGCTCGAGTGCGATTCTCGGAGGCACCGGTAATGGAACCCTTGGCCACACTTCTGTGAGGCTATGGTTGGACATTGCTGAGTGCAGAGGAAGCAGGGTTGGGGCTGGGTGGAGAGTGAGGTGACAGTACAGAGGATGGGCTCTGGTGACCTTGTAGCCCAGGGCTTCATCTTTCCCATGATCCCTGTGTCAGTGGCCTGTAACTATATAACAAGTTACAAAAAACTGGATGGCTTAACAACACACCAACACATGCTTCTTCTCTCACTGCTCTGGAGGCCAGAGGCTGTATTCAAGGTGGCACCAGGGCTGGGTACCCTCCAGACAACCCAGCGGAGGGTCCTTCTGCCTCTCCCAGGTTCTGGTAGGAGAAGACCTTTCTGGGCTGAGGCTGCATCGCTCCAGTGATACCTCCATCTTCACAAGGCTTCTCTGCTGGCTCTCAGATCTTCCTCTGCCATTCTTTTACAAGGACATTTTCTCTCAGGATCCTTGACTTGATTACATCCCAAAGACCCTGTATCCAAACAAGGTCACCTCCACTGGTTCTGGGGGTTAGCGCTGGGACATGTCTGTTTTGGGGGCCATTTTACAAGCCACTACAGAACCTTAGAGGAAAGTGGGACCTCTTGGGCTGAATTGGGGTGAAGACCAGTGTTTCCCTGCTCCTGAGGCCTGTTTGTGGGATTTCTCTCTTTGCATGCCTACCATTAAAACTTGTGATACCACTGTTAGTAAGTTAGTAAGGTTGGTGATGTAACGAGTACACGACCTCCAGCTCTGCTCCCAGGGATCCAAATATAGTCCTTGAAACCAGTGGCCTGTGGAGGGAGTTTGGGCAGCATGGAGCCCAGGAAGGCTCTGGGGGGAGACTGGAGCAAAGCTGGCTTTGGAGAACCTGATCCTCTGAGGAGGAAAGGTGCTTGTTAGGGGCAAGCATAAGCCAGAGTTGGCTCCTCCTTATGTGGATATGGCCCTTCTCAACATCCTTGGTTTCCTCAGAGTAGTTGGGTGCCCTACCATCTTGCTGTGCTTAGAATGTTCTGTGATCAACTCCAGCCCCTATGTTCACTGACAGCCATCTTCCTGAGGTCCCTCACCAGTGGGGACAGCCCCTGCTCTCAGAGCACAGGACCGGGGCTTGGGAGCACTAAGGTGCAAACACCTGAGAGGAAGTAGAGCCAGTGAACACAACAGTCATTTAGGGTGTGTCCGGTGGTGGTGGAGACTCATGCCGTGCAGTGACACAAAGTGAGGAAAGAGAGAGGGGGTGGCAGATGGGGAGTGTGCCTTTTGTGTAGGTGGCCAAGGTGAGGAAGAGCCCCACAGTTGGAGGAAGGAGTGTTCAGAGATAGGCTGGTTTCAGTTCTGGGAGGACCTGCGTTGGTCTGGCTGGAATTGGTGACCACATCTGTACAGAGACTACCATAGCTCTGTCAGGGAGCCCTTGCTTTGGTGCATGGTTGACAAATGGGAGGTGCCTCTGTGTGGGCTTCCCAAGGAGGGGTTCTCCCAATGAGGATACCACCCTCACTGGAACCCCCAGGGAGGGATCTTCTTACTTCCTTGGGGCAAACCTGGGTCAAGGTCTTCACCCTTCCAGTGTCTACTCTCCCACCTGGCTGTAAGGGGCAAATGCTGAGGACCCCTGGAAGCCCCTGTTCCAAGGTGGGTGGGGAGAGCTCTCAGGACAGGTGTGCTGTTTGGGGTGACTTGGACAGTGCTCATAGCACAGGGTAGACCAGGTGGACTTGGGAGGCTGTGCGAGGAGGCCTTGGGAGGCTGTGTGAGGACCCGGTCAGTCTTGAGCACTGAACTTTGGGCTTTGTGGCCCATGTAAGTATGCAGGCAGTTTCCCCAGTGCCCCCTGGGCAACTGCACACAGGGACATCTCTGCTTGCTAGCTGAGTGAGAGTCAGAGCTGTGCTAAGTTGGGGCCAGGGCTGGCACTTGCCTGGCTCCCTGGCTCAGGACCCTGCACCCTGTGGCTGGTTGAATGGGAATGGTGGATGTGATTTCGTTGGTCTGTACTGCATGGTCTTTCCCCACGGCTTCCTTTGCCTTGTGTGCATTCAAAATTCCAGAGAGATCAGAAGCTCTAGCCACCCTGGCACAAGTCTCTGTAGGATAGTGACCGCTTGGTTGCAGGTCCCCCTGAGAAGAGTACTCTGGAGTCCACACTACCCCTACCTGGCCGCAGCTGCCACTCTGCTGGCATTTACTGCCCCTTCCCCCAGGCCTCTGGGACTGTTGAGCTAAGCAGGATTTTGCCCTCTTTTGTGTTCACCAAGGAGTAGGGGTGGCTGTAGTTAGAGAAGGGTTTCCACAGAATGTAGTGGCCAGGAAGCCGGTGGTTCTGGTGGTCAGGCATTAGGGACTTGAACCCTGATGGCCTGCTGTCCTCCCTGCTCCCCCCAGCCCCCCACATTCTAAAGGAGGCTCTGATCACTGTAGAGATGAGAGCTGTGATTGCATGTGGAGGAAAGAAGACTGGAGGGAGGGGCCTCCCAAAATGTCTCCAGTGCTGTTGCTGGGAGCTGGGCCAGCTGTCAGCCCTTCTCCCTGTGGGCAGGGGGAGGAGACTGGGGTCCCATGAAATCCCCTAGTTCCGGGGCCTGGCAAGGCAGGGTGAAGGCTGGGGAGACATTGGGTCGCCCCTGGAAGGAGTTGTTGAGTGTTCCTGCCACGTGGGCCCCTTTCTGCTCTGCTCTGCTCTGTGTAATCGGAACAGCTGGTTCTCATTTGGCGGGTGGCTGCAGGGATGTGAAGATGGCGGCTTCCCAGGCACCCTCCTGTTGCCCCTGCGGGAGCAGGCCCTACAGAGGTGGCAGGATGGCCATCCCTGCTGGGATGCAGGGTGGGAGTTGGGTGGCCAGTGTCCCCTTGGCCAGGAGTACAGGGAGTATGTGTGGGAGAGGGTGAGGATTGAGGAGATCGGTTACTGTGGACTGACTGGACAAGCAAGGGGTGGAGCCTGGGCTTCGTATCAAACTGACCAGTAATCTGGCTCCGTCACCCACTCTCCACACCACTGGGCACATTGCTTAGGTGTGTCCTGCCTCGTCTCCCCAACTCAACCAAGGAAATAATATCCTTTATGTCACAGGTTACTGGAAGAAATCAGGGAGACTGAGTGTGGTAAGCCCAGCACCTGGCCTATAGGAAAACTCTCAGGCTCAGCCTTTGGCGCGTCACTGATGTGATGTCGTTCCTATTCTGATTCTGAATGGTTACGGTTGTGTCCATTATTATTGGGGACGTGGCCTGGCCTGTGGCTGGCTGTGGGGTTGTTTGCTGCTAGTGTCTGGGTTTGTGCCTTGGGTGAAGGTGAGGAGGGAGGAGATAGGCCACAAGAAGAAGAAATCCAGGGCTTGTCTTGAGCTGGAAGGGGAGGCTGTGTGGTCCATGCTGTGCTCATGACAAGCCAGGGAAAGACTGACATCTTCCCTTCTCCAGCCCACTGGCATCGGTGGGTACCCTGTGAGTCCTCTGTAAGGACCTGCCTTTTTCTCTTACTGAGGGCAGAGAGGAAGAGGTGGCCAGCCAGAGAGGAAGAGGTGACACAGCCCTCTGCAGTGTCCCAGCCAGCTTGCTGTCCTCTGCCCTTCCACCTGCCATGTGTCTTCTCCTACATGTCCTCTGCCAGCCATTCACCCCGTCCTCCTCTCTGTCTTTCAGCCTTGAAGAGATCTTTTGAGGTTGAGGAGGTCGAGCCACCCAACTCCACCCCAGCCCGGAGAGTCCAGACTCCACTGCTCCGCTCCACTGTGGCCAGCTCCACCCAGAAGTTCCAGGACCTGGGTGTGAAGAACTCAGAGCCCGCAGCCCGCCATGTGGACTCCCTAAGCCAGCGCTCCCCAAAGCCTTCCCTGCGGAGGGTTGAGCTCTCGGGGCCCAAGGCATCTGAGCCTGTGTCCCGACGCACCGAGCTGTCCATTGACATCTCGCCCAAGCAGGTGGAGAACACTGGAGCCGCCGGGCCCTCCCGGTTCGGGCTCAAGAGGGCTGAGGTGCTGGGCCACAAGACACCAGAGCCGGCCCCTCGGAGGACGGAGATCACCATCGTCAAGCCCCAGGAGCCAGCCCACCGCAGGATGGAGGCCCCCGCCTCCAAGATTCCCGAGGTGCCTGCTGCCCCCGTTCTCGACGCAGCCCCCAAGAGGGTCGAGATTCAGGTGCCCAAGCCAGCCGAGGCACCCACCTGCCCCCTTCCGCCCCAGATCCTGGAGAATTCAGAGCCCCCGATGCCTCAGCTGCAGAGCAGGCTGGAGCCCAAGCCCCCTGTGGCGAGGCCCCTCCCAGGAGCCAGGAGGGTGAGTAGAGAGTCCTGGGTTCTTGGGGCCATGTGGATGGGTTGGGGCTTTGCAGTGGGGTCTCTGGAAGGAGCTGATCACAGTGGGGGAGGTGCTTCCATGGAAATGGAGGAAAACCTGACTATGCAGGGTGGTGTCCCGAGGCTCAGGGAGGTGAATGGTTCCCTGTCAACTGCAGCCATACCCAGATCAGCAGGTGGGAAGAATCTTGGGTTGTGAGATCCCTTTGATGGTCAAAGGACCATCTGCGACATGAGCCCGGGACAGCCAGAGCTAGGAAGCTTTGAGAACAGTGGTTTGTGTAGGAGCCACTCTGGCTCCTGTGGGACGGGATGGGGTGGAAAACGTGTGCAAGGCTCACATTCTAAGGGCCCTGGAGTGGCAGGCCTCTGCTCTCCGGGAACTGCAGGCCGCCTGGAAGTACCCAGAAGGGGCCCAGGGCCACAGAGCAGGGGAGGAGGGACTCATGTTCTATAGAGGTTGCATCTATAGAGGTTTGCTTCTGCTTTCGGACTGACATTTGTGCCTGGCCTTCCTCCTCCTCCTCCTCCCCAGGGAGGGACATTTGTGGACAGAGGCAGAATGTGTAGAAGGCCTTAGCCTCTGCCTGCTGAGATTCCATGGCTTGGGGGTCCCTGGGGCAGGGGCTCCATGATACTTGCATACAGCATCCTTGGGGGTGCTCTCTTGGTGGGGCTGGGGAGTATTTCAGTGGTGTCCTTGGAGGCTCAGACCTGGAGTTGTGTTCATGCTGAGAACTCACAGCTATAGGCCTGGACCTGCTTAGGAATGACAGGGCCCAGAGACACTGTGGCCCTTCTCAGAAGTGTGCTGCCCCTGCCTCAAGCCTGCCTTGAGCCACTGGCGGGGGTCTTGGCTCTACCAGGCCACATTATTGGGTCCTTGAAAGATTCTGGGCACAGGGCTCAGAACTCAGTAAGTGGCCGGTAATTGTTCTTTGGATTAGGTGACCCCAAGAATCTGGTTTGTTGGTTTATATTATCACTGTTATTATTACCATCTTAAATTGTGATATACCCATGATGTAAGATCGACCATTTTGCCATTTTATTTAAAACGGCTGAAGGATATCGAAGTTCAGGGGTGTTAGGCACATTCCCCTTACTGTGCAGCCACACCATCCGTCTCCCGCTCTTTGCACGAGAAGCTCTGTCCCTGTTAACCGCAGCTCCCCTTTCCTCCTGCCACAGGCCCTTTCTGTCTCTGAGTGGACTACCCTAGGGACTCCTGTGAGTGGACTCACACAGCACCTGTCCTTCTGTGACTGGCTTATTTCACTGAGCCAGGCTCATCCATGTTGTAGCAGGCGTCAGCATGCCCTTCCTTTTTAAGGCTGGATCATATCCCATTGATCCAGCACCGTATCTTGTTTGTCCCTTCATCCATTGGTGGCACCTTGGCTCCTGTGAACGATGCTGCTGTGAGCACGGGTGGACACATAGCTCTTTAAGCTCCCACTTTCAACTCTTCTTGGTTTTCCAGTGGTCAGTGGATTGGGGGAGGGATGAAGTCAGGATATGGAGACTCCTCTATCATTTTTCCACGCGTGGAGACAGAGCACCTGCACATGTCAACTCTGCAGGTCTGGGGCCTGGGGCTTGGCTTTCCTATAGTGCTGGGCATCAGACTACACTGTGTATAGCCACTGATGCTTCCTCTCAGCCTTGGGTGTGTGAGTCTGTGTCTTTCTCCCATCTCTCTAAAATTAGCCTGCAGAGGCTTCCAGACTTGGTGATCATAGCTGCAGGTGGCATGTTGTTGGGACGAAGGTGCAGGCAATGTGTGGAGTGGCCTGGCCATGTCTAAGGCCTCCCCCTAAGGCCTCCTGTTGGCCTAGGGCCTTTTGTGTGTATCAGATACAACCTCCTTCTGGGACGTGGTGTTCACACTCTGCTGAGTCAAACAGGATGTGGCTGGGGAGGTAGACATTGATGTGACTGCTGGCACCGGACAGATGCTCAGTAAGGTGATCCTGGCTCTGGGGAGCAGGCAGGGGGCTGTCTGCTTAGTGCGGCATCTCCAGAGTGATGGGCAAGGGGGTTCCACTCTTCCTCCAGGGCAGACGCAGCTCAGCCCCACTTTACACAGAGACTCTGTAGGTACCGAGTCCACCCTGTGCTCTAACCTCCAGAGATGGCCCAGCCATGGGCAGGACAGTGGGTGGACAGCTGCCGAGGAACAGTGAGAGGGCTACTGGGGAGGAAGGGATCCCACCAGGTCAGGATGGACAGGAAAGCTTCCCGAGCAGAGGCCACAGCCCAGAGCAAACACCCTCACACTGTTGGTGACCCCTGCACCCATCTGGGGTTCCAGCCAGTGGAGGTCCAGCCCCTATGGAAACGTGTGAAGGTTGGGGTGGAGGGAAAGGCAGGGAGAGCACAGGGTAGGGCCTTCCCAGTGGAGGATATTCCCAGATCCACTGGAATGCTTCTCGGGGGCCCTCAGCTGAGCTCCTAGCCTTAAGGCTTTACCTGCTTCTCCACCCTCCCCCTCTGTCAAAGCCTGTGCCGTCCCTTTGGATATAGATCTGCACAGATCCAGTACCTTCACGTTTTGCTATACATTCGTCAGAATTCTTTCATTGCCCCTGTGTAGGGAGGCCCTGTCTCAAAAATCACAAAAACAAACAAAACCCCTAAAATTTGAAGGAGTGACCTATATGGGCGGTGAGATGGGGAGAGCTTTATGGTAGTTTTTAAAGGGATGCAGGGACCCCATGGAACCCCCAGGGACCAGGCAGATGTTATGCACCTGTGGACTTTCCCCTAGGCACCCTGGTGTCCTGGCCCACAGACTTGGGTGTCCCCGAAGTGTTAGGGGCTGGGTGGAGGTGTAAAGTATACACCAGGATGCACTGGCTGGGAAGTTCTCTGGGAGGGGGGGTGGTGGGGTGGTTCTGGAAGGGGTCAGGGAGGAAAGTGGGGACTTTGATGGCTGAAAGGGTGAGGGAAGGGCAAAGTGGCTTCTTCCTCCTGACCTAGGACCTAGTGAGGTCTGAGCTCACTCTGTTTGTGTGGGTTTCTGAGGTCTCTGGGTGTGACATGGCTGTAGGACCCAGAACCTGGCCTGCGAGGGCGGCTGCTGACTCAGTTCGCCTGCCCCCCCAGCCACCTCCTCAGGCTACAAAGAGACACCAGCCAAGCCTCCCCAGGCTGCCTTATAAGGCTCCCTCGTGGTCTGGTACCTTGCCTTTGCCTTCTCTGGTGTGAGCCTCTGCCGAGCTCTGGGATGCAGCCCGGCTCCTGGAGCCACTGATTCTTCTGAGGCCTCTCCTGGCCTCAATTTCTGAAGCTGTCAGTGAGGACAGGGTGGGGCCTCTCCCCAAGGCAGAGCTGAGCTCTCTCAGGTGCAGCCAAGTGTGCTCAGTCACCCAGGTGCCAGGACAGATGTCTTGTCCACAGCGTCCTGAGGTTGGAGTGGAGGCAGACATAGCAGTATTTTCCTTCAACTCAAAACATCCAGCAGTATTCCTGGGGGTGGGTGGAGTGTGGAGGGAGGTGCAGTCCAAGCAAGGGGCCAGTAGTAGGCGTGGTGCCCGGCCACCTCCCTCTAATCCCGGAGTCCTGTGATCTCCACCAGGCCTCATGTTCAGGGCAGAGGACAGATGGAGAAGGAGCTCAGTGCAGACCACCGGGGCTATAATGCAGCGTGAAGCTGAGTGGGTCAATCGGAGCACAGGGGTCCCTGGACCACCCAGTGGGGGCAGAAAGAAGGCACGACCCTGGGGAAGATTTGGGATGGTGAGGACTGGCCCACGTCTCAGGGTGGTGAGGAATGTGTCAGGCTCAGCTTGGGGAGGACTCACTGCCTCCCACAAGTTCCTGGGTGGGGACCAGAGGATGTGAAGTGGGGACATGGCAGCCACCAAGTGACTTCGGTTCTGTAGAGGCTCCGTGGGTCACTCCCTGACTATCCTAGGCTGTGCATTCCCCAGCACCTGGGTGAGGTGCCCTGCCTGCCTGCATGTGGCCTGCAGACTTCTGTGTAGGGCTAAGAATGTCTCCTTCTGGAGAGACAAGGCTGCGAGTCCAGAAGGGTCATCGTACCCGCACCCCCCCCCAACCGCCACTGGCTGTCTTACTTAGAGGACCTTCTGCTTTGAGCCCCTCAGATTCCTGAGCTGTCCCAGAGGCCTCCCAGCACACCCTACTGTGGGACTGGGTCTCTCTTTCTCCGTAAGAACAGACAGCCCCTTCTCTGTACTGTCCCTGGGACATTCATACCTGGGTCTGGAGCAAGAAGTCCCTCAGGTTGGGGGACAGGAGGACCTGTTGGGGAGAATTGGCCAGGCCAGGTGGGTGTCCTTCAAGGTGGGGTAGGGTGGGGGGCCAGCGAGAACAGACTCTGTCTCAGGGCCTGGGAAAAGCTCCTCCCCTGGCCTGTGTCCCAGCTGTCTGCCAAGCCCTGCATGGTGGTGAGGAAGGCCTGGGCGGTACGGGGAACATGGCCGAGCAGCTGCAGAATACCTTAAATAGATTTGGCCCAGCACAGCTGCAGGGAGAGGGTGGGGCTGGGGCTGGGTCCCACTCTGCCCCCTCCAACTTTGTGGACTGGGGCCCTGACCACCCTCCAGCCTGACCCAGGACGGAGCCTGGGCCTCCAGACACATGGCACTGGGTGAGGCCTCCCTGGGGCTGTTGTCCCGGGAAGCTGGAGCAGCTGCCAGGGTTGCTGTGGCTGCATCCACAGCCTCCGGGCCCAAGACAGCTGCTGGGAGCCAGGGTCTGCTCTGTGGGGTGGCTGTCGGGGGTGGTCCAGGCCATGGAGCCATGTTCTGTCTGTGTAGTGTGGACAAAGGGCTCGTTCAGCTCTGGAGGAGCACGCCCCAACACCCCAGCTGGCACCCTAAGTGTGGGCAGCCCCTGACCAGACTCCATTCCGGCAATGGCCTGGGAGGACGCCATGTGATATGTGCTGGCCAGGTGCTTCCCTTGTGGCCTCAGAAGGCATGTCCCGCCAAACTGGGCTTCCCTTCAGTT